CTGGGTCATGGCGTGACGGTTGAGGCAGACATCATTAAACAATCACAATATCACAATAAAACGGGGAAGTGGTTGCGTATTACGGAGTAGCCAACATGGGAAATAAAAAACGCACAATACAAACGACATGGGTTTGAATCACACTAGATACAAACTCACCAGAACCGACGCAATCAGAAACCAGTCATCATTTTGACTTTCCCGTTCAATTCATCGGTACATTTGAGTAGTTAGAAAAAAGAACACCACTTAATGACCAACGTCGTGGTGTGGTACACAAGCGTACCATCGAGATAAAACAAAATTAGCTTGAAAAGACAGTGGGTTCGAGTCCCGCTCAGAGCTACCTTAAAAACATAAATCAAATAAATGAAATCCCTCAAACCGTAACAAGTAAACTAAAAACGTTGCGAAAAAACAATAAACCTCACGAAACTCCACCATGCAATACTGAATGAATGAATAATAAAATAACTCACGTTTTAAACTGGACGACGCGCAATTTGTTCAACAGTTTCCAGATTGTGACAAGAGATAAACAAGACCGAAGTTAAGGTAAGTTTTGTTGTAGTGTCGATGGCGTTCCCTATATTATGAAAACAATTCAGGCAACAGAACAATATCTTCTGTGGTGTTGTGGAATTTATACTGTGTCTGCGGAATTGTTGATTGAGGGTTCAAAGTCAGCAGTTAACATGTTGTTAGAAAGTTTCACAATTAAATCAAATATCCAATGATACCAGTATATTTATTTCATTATTTTAACAACTTGTAATTGTGTGAATTAATCAAACGCGAGTTGCTTACACCAAAATAAGTTTCAAATACTTGTCCACACATTTATTCTCTCAATTTAACAACTTGTAATAGTGTAAAATAATTAAATGACAATTGTCTACACCAAAATAAGTCTAAAATATTTGTCCACACATTTATTTTCACAATTTAACAACTTGTAATGGTGAAAGTTAATTAAACGTGACTTGTCTACACCAAAATAAGTCTCAAATATTAGTCCATACATTTATTCTCTCAATTTAACAACTTGTAATGGTGTAAAATTATTAAATGAAAGTTGTCTACACCAAAATAAGTCTCAAATATTTGTCCATACATTTATTTTCACAATTTAACAACTTGTAATGGTGAAAGTTAATTAAACATGACTTGTCTACACCAAAATAAGTCTCAAATATTTGTCCATACATTTATTCTCTCAATTTAACAACTTGTAATGGTGTAAAATTATTAAACGACAGTTGTCTACACCAAAATACATCTCAAATATTTGTCCACACATTTATTTTCACAATTTACAACTTGTAATGGTGTAAAATAAGTTGTTTAATCAGTGACATCGATGCACTTAC